ACTCACATGACTGACCTTCCTACCTACTTGGCCTACCCTTTCACTCCCATTACTGATTGTTCTAGTCTTTAGATCCAAATGTCTCCACTGTATAGCTTATCAAAGGGACAGTGAGGGGCGTGCCCCTCTGCTAGTTTCCCTGGTAACTGATGAGACAATCTGCTGTCGACCCTGTCCTGTAACTGGTAACGTCCCTCCCACCAGGAGGGAAGACCACTGCCACATCCTCCTGCCTTCTGCTGCACACAGCGTGGGGTACAGGTTGTCGCTCCAGGACCTTGCCTCAGACATGTAAGCTCTCCCAGCCATTAACCATTAATATCTCTGGCGCTGACTCTGGGCTCTTTCTTTAGTCTTGAAGCTGTGCCTGTAGACCTTGTAGGCTTGTGGGGGGTGAAAACCAACAGGGGGACAAAATTGTGAGAGATCTTCAAAGGACATGTTGCTGAATCAATCAGCAGATTGGTTTATTGAGCATCTCCTACATGCCAAGTATGGGACTTGGCCCTGGGACTCTAACGGCAAGAAAACCAGAGTCAGTCTCTGTTGTCTACACAGGATGGCCATGTGTCCCAGTTTTGTTCTTGTCCTGGAATAATTATGACTAGCATCTCTTTTGAGTTTCAAAAGTGTTTCTGTTTACATTATAGACTATATGGTCATGCTACCTATAGAGCCTCAGTGCGGTGCAGAAAGACAGATATTAATCAAACTAATCATCTAAATACAATATATAACTTCAAATTGTACTAGGTGCTATGAAGAAAAGCTACAGAACGCTGTTACAGCAGGCACTGGGGAGCAGCTCCAGTCTCCAAAGGAATTTAGACTTCTCTTCAGGCAAAACGAAGACATAGAAGGTTTTTAAGTTGGAGATCAGATCTCAGTTTCAGAAGTCATGGGATTTCTATGTTTGTTGAAGATTTCTCTCTCTCTCTTTTTTTATATCTCCCAGTTATTAACAATAAGGGTTGAAACAGAAATAACACTTTCATCACATAGTATTTCACGTTATAAATGAGTTTTCACAGGTATGTTTTCTCATCAGAGGGGCAGAGTGGAAAGTGCAAAGAGTCAGATGAAGTTAACTTTCTGGCTTTGCTCTGTCTCCCAACAGCTGCCTGCCTGTGCCTCACCTGGCTGTACCTCAGTTTTCACAACTTTAATCAGGGTGTGTGCGCTTAGCTGCTCAGTCATGTCTGACTCTTTGTGACCCCATGGACTGTAGCCCGCCAGGCTCCTCTGTCCTTGGGATTCTCCAGGCAAGAATACTGGAGTAGGTTGCCATTCCCTTCTCCAGGGAATCTTCCTGACCCAGGGATTGAACCTGGGGGTTCAAATGCGGGTGGATTCTTTATCATCTGAGCCACCAGGGAAACCCTCTTTAAGCGGGGATGCTTTAATTCCAAGAGATACATGAACCCCGGTATTCAGAGCAGCATGATTTACAATATCCAAGACACGGAAACAACCCAAGTCAATCAACAGATGATTGACTTAAGAAGATGTGGTGTATATATGTATATGTCTCCAATGGAATATTACTCAGTTATAAAAAGAATGAAGTATTGTCATTTCCAGCAGTGTAGATGGACCTGGAGAATATTATAATTAGTGAAATAAGTCAGACAAAGACAAATACCATGTTATATTACTTATATGTGGAATCTGAAAAATAATACAAATTAATATATATACAAAACAGAAACAGACAGACTTAGAAAACAAACTTATGGTTTCCAAATGGACAGGGAGGCTGGTGGGACAAATTAGGAGTTTGGGATTAGCAGATACAAACTATTATACATAAAATAGAAAAGCAGCAAGGATAGACTGTATAACACAGGGAATTATACCCTATGTCTTACAATTACCTAGTGTTGTTCAGTCACTAAGTTGTGTCCTTCTCTTTGTGACCCCATGAACTGTATGTAACACAGCAGGCTTCCCTGTCTTTCACTACCTTCCAGAGGTTGCTCAAACTCAAGTTCATTGAGTCAGATGTATAATGGGATATAATTTTAAAAAAAGAGACACAGATGAAAACAGAGTCACTATGCTGTACACCTAAAACTAATACAATACTGTAAATCGACTCTACTTCAAGAACTATTCATAGATGTGCACACCAGAAAAGGTTCAGTTTGCATGGCTGACATTTAATAAAATAAAATGTTTTTAATTAAAAAATATTTTTGGTCTCTCTGAGGATCTTAGTTTCCCCATCTGGGATACAGCCTGTGCCCCTTGCAGTGGAAGCAAGGATTGTTAAACACTGGCCAACCAGGGAAGCCCTAAAATAAATATTTTTAAAATAAAAAAGCAAAGAAGAGAGTGCTCTTTCCCATATACAAGGATGACTGAGAATCAGAAGTCATGTAAATAAATGGCTAGCACAGTGTCTGGCACGTTGTTGGCTGTTGAAAAATGCTACCAACTATTACAGGTTTTCTGAGCTCGAGGACACTTAAAGGAAGGGGAAAGACTGATGGTGTTTTAACCAGTAGAAGTAAATTGGGCGGGGACATCCCTGGAGGTCCAATGTTAGGATTCAGTGCTTTCACTGCCAAGGGCCACGGGTCAGTCCCTGGTTGGGAATCCAAGATCCTGTAAGCCATATGGTCTGCCCAAAGAAAAAGGAAATTGAGCTGAAATTCAAGGGAAGTTATGCATATGGGGTGGCAGAGTGTATGGGAAATTTCTGCATGGTCCCCTCAATTTTGCTTTGAACCCAAAACTGCTCATAAAATGTCAATGAAAGAAACACACACGCACAAACGAACAGCTCCTCTTTTCAGCTGGACTCTCCTTGTCACTTAAGGACAAGAACCTGCTTGCCTGGCAGGATAAGAAGAGGGGGAGAGAGGAGTAAATTTCCACACCCAAGCTGTGCTGCCTTCAGCTGTCCTGAATGTCTGGGAAACCAGACAGTGTGGCCTTGACAAGCGTTTACTTGGTCTCATCTTTTCTCCTTCTCTGGATGGCAGGGGACCCCCTCAGTGGCTGGAGGATGGCTCCTAGGAACAGGGATGCTGGCAGATGCTGCGCCGAGGCAGGGGGCGATGGAGGGGCAGGCCAGCTGGGTTGATCAAAGAAGGAACCAGGAGCCTGTGTGAGAGCCAGGCGGGGGTGAGCCCTGCAGCCCAGACGCTGATTCAGAGCTGGAAGTATTTTAACCACGTCCATCCACGTCTGCCTGTTTGACTGGGAAGCCAAACTCCTGGAGTCTGTATCTCATTTTCCTTCCTATTTGCCCCTGGTGCTGTTTGGCTGTGTATTTGCTGGGACCGCCTTAACAAAGCACCACAGGCTGGGTGCCTTAAACAATAAAAATTTCCTTACTCACAGTCCCGGAGGCTGGAAGTCTGAGATCTAAGTGTCAGCAGGTGTCTTTCTTCTGCAGCCTCTCTCCTTGGCTGGTAGGTGGGGGTCTTCTCTGTGTGTCTTCACGCGGTCTCCGCTCTGTGTCTGGGTCCTGATGTCCTCTTTTTATAAGGACACCAGTCTATCTGGATTAATGCTCACCCTAATGACCTCATTTAACCTCATTACCTCTTTAGAGACCCCCAAATCTCCAACCACAGTCACATTCTGAGCTGCTGGAAGGAGGGTGGGGATTGGCCTTCAGCTTATGCGTTTGCAGGGCTGGGGTGGGTGTAATTCAGGCTCAAGCATACAACTTGGCAAGTTGCACCTTCGGTCGTAGCCCCTGGGGAGAAAGAAAAGTGGGTTGGATGGTCTTCTGGCCATCGCCCCTCGTGGAAGAGTGAAACTGGGAACCTGCTAGGTTTTTGAAGCAGTGCAAACCCTCTCTAAATACTCTTGTCTTTACCCGGAGTCACTGGGTAATCCACCACCAGCTTCGGGGTTCCTGAACCCCAGCCTCTCATCTCCTGAAGGCTGCCTTTAGGATGGGGATCTGTTTCTGTTTCTGGCTGAGAAATAGGTGTCTGTCCTGAGGTTTCCTCTCATCAGGAACTGTTATGATGTGTGTGTCTTTTATAGACTTCCTTTACCTGGAAAGAGCTGTCAGATTCTGAGGATCCCGCCCAGAAAGCTCACCGACTGCAGGATGAGGGGGCTGAGGAAGCAACTGTTCTTACTTTCCTTCCACCCCTTCTTCACTCTGTAGGGGAAGGCAGGAGACCATACCTGTGCCAGTAATACTGCAGATCTTCTGGGATCTGCAAATGTGTCGTTAGCCCACCAGGTAGCACAGAATGACTGCATCTGAAGGTGATTTAACAAAGGTAGACTCCCACTTACAGATGGGCAGGGTTCCAAAGATTTGCCTGGAAATTTGTTTCGATGAATTGGAAACACTATTCTCTCATAGAAAAAACGTTAAATGGAGGGAGAGGTTTTCCGGGAACTCCTTGAAAGTCTATTTAACTCACACGTAACTGATGTACTAACTATGGCCATTTCTATCCCCAGCAACCAAATCCCACGCATACTAGCCTTTCGATGGGAGAATATGTTGTGAGTTCCAACTCTGTGTGTCAAGACAAATGCTTCTTCTTCATTGATGTAGCTCCCCTGACAGTGGCCTTGTGGCAAGGAGGTGTTATTGGGTTAGGTAATTCGGAACACCCGTAATGTGTGAAGAGTGTAAAATATTCACATTTTAAAATTCATGCTCACATAATTGATTACATTTAAGTCTCATAGTAACCCTACAAGGTAAATGTTACGAGGTCTACTCCAGAGAAATGGGAGTATGGGGCTCAGAGATATCAAGTGGTTTCTTTAGGGTCACACAGCAAAGACAGCTGCGGTTCTCAGAATGCGATGCGTCTGATACCTGGGTGACCGCCTCTCCAGCTCATCTGTGTTGCGAACTCAGGCTCTGGCTTTTAATGAGTCTGGTGTTCCCTGGATGGTCCATCCTGGCCGAGGGCATAGGCACACACTTCGCCAGGAGTGACCATGACCTTGGGGGGAGGTGCTGGAACAGGGGAGTTGACGCTGCTATGTGAGGATCAGGCAGGGGTTCGGAGATGGTGGCAGCCCGTGCAGATGGCAGAGTTGTTTGGATAAATGGTGATTTTCTTCCTAGGTGATTTCCCAAGGCCACTGAGGCCTGACAATTCTGGCAGGAAAACCAAATTTAAATGAGTCTCTTTTCAAGTCAGCCTGAGGGGGAGGCATTAGTCAGAAAACTAACCACCTCACCTGACTGTTTCCTGTGTTTTGCACACATAGACGGAGGTCGTGAAGAAGCATAGTCGTCCATTCAGAGCTGCTTTCTATTTTGACAGGAGAAGACAAACAAGAAAGTACAAATCTTGTGCAAACCGATGGGAAATGAAGAGTAAATTCCTCTCCCTGTGAGAACTTCAGAGGGCGCCTGTGGACCTCAGGGTTGGGGACAGCCTCACTCAGGAAACTTCAGGATGGTCACGAGACGCGTGATAGAACATGAGAACTGGAGCGGTGTTTCGAATTTTAATTCACGCCATGTATTTTCAGACAGAACACTCAGGCTCAGGGAGGCTCTAGGCTGGCCTGCAGTTCTAAACTCTCGAACCAGAGAGTTAGGAGTGGAATTCAGGTTCCCTCCCTCTATGTCCAGTGGCTCTTATTATTACACCGGAAGGAGAGTGGGAAAGGACCAATTGAAAACAATGTCAGAGGCAGGGAGTAGGCAGAGTGGACATTATGGATGGGGTCCATGTTGAGGAGGAGAAGTGAAAAATCAGGCAGAAAGGTTGAGGAGGGCAGGTGGCCAAAGACCTTGGAGGGTGAGGGGACAATTTTTTTTTTTTTTTCCATAAATGGCAACATGGGACAGAGGGATAGACTTTCTCTATCTCTCATGGGTTTTTGCTAATATTATTAGCAAAATGGATTATTCTACAAATACCCTACCTTTTAATGAGAAGCCCAGAATGTTTCAGCTTGTTGAGTTCACCCAGTTGTGAGCTCCCTGCTCCACATTGAAAGGCAAGGCATAGGGTCCCAGACTTGGTGAACTCTGCAAATAGAGCCTCTTGTTTTGCAGCCTGGCCGGCGCCGAGGACTCTTGCACAGAATTGAGTTCCCATTGGCCTGGTCTCAGCCTGCCCTTCTTTCCCCCTGTATCATGGTTAGGACCACACAGGGCCCCTTGAGGCTGCAGCCTTGTGTGGATGCTGGACAGGCACAGAGAGGAAGGGGGAGGGTGAGGAGCCTGCGAGGAGGCCAGGAGGATGCAAGGCCTGCAGCTGACCCGCTGTTGGCTGCCACTGGCTTGTTGGTATTGCAGAAACAGGGATCCAGTACCAGGGGAGGATGTCAGGGTCAAGAACTGCAAATTGTAAACCACAGTGAAGTGAGATGTATCAATCTGCAGTGACCTAATAGGAGGAAAGCCTGCTAACAGGAGGCTTAAAAAAGGCTCCTAGGATGTGCAGGACTGCAGGAGATCACAGCCAAGCCAGCTCTGTTCACTTGGACAACTAGGTTCTGGTCTTATGATTGTCAGGGTGGACCAGGCCAGTCAGGACCAGAAAGCATCTTTGAAGCCACACTCTAAGAGGTCAGAGTTGATGAGGGTTTCCTGGTGCAAGTCTGTCTTTTTTTTTTTTTTTTTTTAACTATCCTGGACCCTGGAGAGGAAAGCATCACTTTAATTTTTGTGATTTTCATTCTTTTCCAAGTATAATACATGTTTGCTATTGGAAATACGTAAAGCATATTGGAGAAAGTAGGCTCTATCACTCACAATCACATCACCAAAGATAAATTGCTGTTAATATTTATCTTTGGAGGAGAGAGAATTTCCCCTCCTGTCTGTTTTTTTCTATGTGCACAAATTTCAAATTAAAATTGGAATGACACGTTATATTTGCATTTTTATGGTCTTTTTTCCCTTAAGATTATATCATGAGCCTATTCCCATCCTATTCAATATTATTCTAATAGGTTCATGGTATTTAATTCTGCAGATGATTAATTCTGTGGATAAATGATTAAATATATTTAATCACTTATCATTGATAGCTTGCAAATTGGCACTATTATAAATACTACTGCAGTGAACATCTTTGTATCACAATAATATTTGACCACATTTCTGTCAATGTTCTTAGGGTACCTTCCTAGAAGTGGAGTCAATGTTTCAAAGACTCTTGTTAGACGTTGGCTAATTGCCTCCCTCACTCCCTCCGGCGTCCACCGAAATGTTATACCAATTTGTACTTCCATTAATCAGTGGCTATGACAGTGCTGTCGTTTCACTGCCCACTTGCCACAAGTGTGAGTTATTATATTCTTTCAAGTGGAAGGTCATCTTTCCAGAGCCACGCTCAGCTTACTGATGAGCTTCAAAACATGGCAGCTGGCGCCTTTATGTTTATTGACAGAATTCAGCCCATGCACATGTGAGGGGAGTCAGAAAACTTGGGAAGAAAAGAACATTTGATCCACAAGCAGCATTAAGTGCTGGGGAGGGAAAGAGGGGCCCCCTGTGTGAGGTGCGGCTTGATTCCTGCTTTTCCGAAACTCAGAGTCTGTTGAACTGCCCCTCCTCCCAGAGCCCCCGCCAGGGAATGCTCCCTGGCTGATCAGGAAATGAGAGAACAAAGCAAGTCAGACAAAGGCAGGCTTAGTGGTCTGGAAGGCCAGCGACGGGCAAAGCCCCTGATGCTAAGCAGAAATGAAAACGTTAATGGTGAGACACCCAAAGAAAATGTATTCCATATGCACAAGCCTCTGGCAGCAAAGGAATACAAATGCACCTGGACTTCAGCCAGAGGAGCGGGAGCAGCCGCTGGTAACTTTGGACTTGCTTTCTCACACCCTTAGGTCTGTTTCTGCTGAAGCTACTTGAGGTGCTGACTTTGACCTTTTTCCTGACTCCAGTGACAGATAAATCTATCACTATTGTAACTTATTTTAAATAATCGCCAGAGCCACCATTTATTGTGTGAGCCCGATGGAACAGCAGCCCCCAACCTTTTTGGCACCAGGGACCGATCTCGTGGAAGACAACTTTTCCATGGACCGGGGTGTGCAGGATGGTTTCGGGATGATTCAAATACATTACATTCATTGTGCACTTCATTATTATTACATCGGCTCCATCTCAGATCAGGCCTTAGTTTCCAGAGGTTGGGGACCCCTGCTAGAGGATCAGGTGTCTACTTTGCACACACGCAAGTGGCTTTTATAGAACATATTTAAGCCTCAGACTGGTTTTCTGCAGCAGGAATCATTATCCCCATATCCCAGATGAGAAAACTGATGCACAATGAGATTAAGTCGCTTGTCTAATTCATCCCAGTGGCAGAACCTGGATCTTAAATCAGGCTTCACTGGCTCGCTGCCTGTGTGCTGGCCACTCTGTGTCTGAGTGGGGCCTGATTTCCAGTCTTTGGTGTGGAGATGGGGGGAGACGAGCGATTGCAGTCCGCAAGCCAGAAAGGCGAGGCCTGGCCGTCTTCGGGAAGGCTGGCTGCCCAGGCTGGTATGAGGGGACAGGCTTCCTGGGCAGTTTGCCACACCCTGTCCGTAGTGACGTGGCAGAAGTGTGAGCGAGTGTCCTTAGGATGATGAATGGCCAACGGGTCCTTCCCGTGACTGTTGAGCCAAGTGTCTTTGGGCAGGACATTCCCAGAAATCACCTTGGTGGTGGGGTGGGTGGCTGGTGAGAAAACCCCCACTTTTCCTGCGGTGGAAAGCCACATGCACGGAATTCCTGGAAGACAGGCTGGCAACCAGTGTCCACGGAAGGGCTGCAACTTGTCTGTCCTCACACTCCAGGCTGCGGCCGGGAGAACCAGTTTTTCTGGATCTGATTTCTCTCAGGTCCTCTGGCCTGCTTTTTTTACAGATGAATTCTGTGGGTGGCAGGGAGCAGAGTCAATGCAGAAGGAAAGAGAAGGAATTATTTCTAAGGAATCTCTGGGACACCTGGAAATTGGCTAGTTTCCTAGCCAATTCTTGACTTCCCTTCTCATTAGGGGCCCCCTCCAACTCCCCCAAATTCCCCACTGAAACATATGTTTTGCTGACCAAGGAGAATTCTTAGTGCTGACTCGTGCTTTTGCTGGAAAAACACTGGACAGACAAGAATAGGATTTTTTTTTTCCTATTAAAAAAAAAACAAGACAAAAAACAAAGCAGAAAGCTTTTAAGTTAAGTGCTGGGGGACTGAATGCTCAGGGCAAAATGGGGGATGGTTATTGTCTAGCTGAGAAAATCCAAGGTTTGCTAGTCCAGTGTGAGAACAGTCATGGGGTGAAAGTTTTGTATCCATGGTTTTGCTCAATCTCTGTACCTAAATGTCAAGGCTCCAAGGTTTGAGGCACCTAATGTTAGCATTTACTGAGTCCTTTATAGGTCTTAGGGCTGGCTTCCCAGGTGGCGCTAGTGGTAAATAACCTGTATGCCAGTGCAGGAGATTTAAGAGACCCAGGTTCGGTCCCTGTGTCAGGAAAATCCCCTGAAGGAGGGCATGGCAACTTGCAACTTGGTCCAGTATTCTTGCCTGGTTCCATGGACAGAGGAGCCTGGCGGGCTACAGTCCATAGGGTTGCAAAGAGTCGGACGTGACTGAAGTGACTTAGCACACAGACATGCATAGGGGTTAAGCTCATTTAATTCTCTAGGCGTTGTCCTGGGGTACATGCCCATTTAGCAGATGGAGACACTGAGGTTTAGAGAGGTGTGGTGCTTGTTTATGTTTTGTCAGGGCCAGAGGTGGGATTCAAACCAGGCACTCCTGGACCAGAGTGCACACTCTCAACCTCTATCCTGTTATACTGCTTCCCAGGGACCAGGGGCTTATGCTACAGAAAGGAATACCTGTTTGTTTGTTTTCTACTCTTGGTCCTTGAGTATTACAAATACTCATGACAAAGCTCCTGGGAGTGGCTCTCAGTTCAGCTTGATGTGCTTGATAAGGATCTACAAGACAGTTCATCCAAGGCAGGGTACTGCTTTGTCTGCTTTCTGTTCTTGATGAAGAAACAGCCTCAAGAAGGGTGATTCCAGTGGGTACCACATCCACCCTCCCCCTACTGCAGAGTCTAACGATGAGTAGGTTTGAGAGGGAAATCCTTGTTTGGCTGAAGT